GTCTCAGAACGGCGGTTTTTTTTGTATCATCTTTCTGGCCGACTCTTAATACCTTTGCACGAGCCCTACGCACATGGACGAAAGTGCGACCGTGCGTAGTCTCACGCATAAATTCCGAATCAATCTTTTTAAACAATGTACGTGTCCGACTTTAAATATCCTTCTAATTCTTAATTCCATATAACTCATTTTATCATATTTATTCGTGACATTTCGTCAAAGAACTAAAAATTTTCGTTTGGTAATTTATAAAAAAATGTAGTCTTTTGTGAGAGGGCAAAATTATCAAACAATTTAGATTTCAGTAAAAATACTACAATCATAAAAATTCAGCGATTCCTACTACCAGTTTCACAACATGACTTTGAATATATTATAGAATGGGAAAAACAGAGAATTTAAATTATTATCGGAACGACAATAGATTACTCACTTGCGGCTACGCGAAATATTATATAATAAAAAGAAGGAGGGACTCTAACTCTGGAAAAAGGGGGAGAAGTGAGGGGGGCCAACTGAAAAGGTAATAATTAATAGGGGGTTTAATTTGTAACTAAAATTAATTTACTGGCGGCTCACCGTTGGGGGGAAATTAACACGGGGCAGGGAAATTCGTTGGGGGAGGGAATCAAAAATCGGGCTCTCACGGGGAATGGTGTCTTCAAAATTCTCTTCGCTTTTCTCGGGGTCTCTCCTCCTTCCTTCCTTCTCCCGGCTCTCCTCGGATCCTCTCCACGAGATTCAGCCGTACAATCTTCCTCTCCCAAAATTTGTTCCTCTACACGAGATTCCTCTCAAACGTTTTCCAACCGAAATAGTTCCTCGCAATAAAATCCTTTCCTCACAGTTCCACACAATACTTCTCTCGTTCTCAATAGTTCCTCTCACAAACACAAGCCTTCACAGTATCCTTTACTCTCTTTCTCCTTCATTGATAGTTCCTCTTACACAATATTTAGTCCTTCACACTCTTTCTTCTTCACACGGTATTTCCTCCTGCTAATAAGTATTCTCCTTTAACCGGGCAGTGACTCGTGGGGCGGCTGTGGCACGAGTGCTAGCTGCCAATCATTTTTTACTTCTTCTTTCCTGATTTTTGGGGAGGTCATCGGGTGTCCTTCTTCTTCTCATCTAGGGGCTCCCTCGAGGGATTTCTCTTTCCGGGGTCACGTGGGACCCTTTTTAATGATGTTCATGCGTGAGTGCCAGGGGGAGGGAAATCAGGGACGGGGGTTAGGAGATTACTTAAACCTAACTTAACCTATCAAAAATAACGTGTATTAATTAGGGGGCAGGGGGGGGGGGCGCAAAATTCTGCCTCGTCACAAAATATATAACTCTAGCCTAATTAAGGTTAACAATTATTATTTTGCAACTTTTCGTATTTCTTCCGTAATTTGGAATACCACGTTTTGCATGTCAATTCTTATTGAGCCCATGGCCACGACGGGGACGTAGTGGTTACCGGCCTCGAAGAACCTGCAACCACACGAGTTATCACCTGGGATTATTTTTATTTTCCTTGAGGAATGAGATGGAATACTACGGCTTCTCCTTTCCACCAACTTGGGATTTAAATTAGATATCTATGTGTTAATGATTTCAAAATTCATATGCGATGACTCTTTAATCCAGAGTCTATGATGACTGTTTCCTGATTTATTAAAGGCCTTGAATTATTTGCAAACCTATTAATTCTTCGTGAAATTATTATTGTTCTAACGATGGAATTTATTTGACAAACAATCTAAGAGTGTACCAAATCGTATAAGGTACTGATAATTGCTTTATAGTCATTGTATCAACTCAGGGTTGATACACTCGAGCTAACAAATTAATATCACTCGAGATGTGATTCTTTCACTGAATTTTCTTTGGGTGTTATTTGCTATTCAGTTGACAGACATTATTTAAGAGGAAAGTAAATGGATAGGGGGGAAACTAACATAAGTAATCAATTTGCCCTGACACTGCACTTTGGTGGCACAGATTTTAACCTATTGTTTTTCTTTTTATTATTTAACACGGTCTTTGCGTACACAAGAAGATATTATAATTGCGATATCGCGTCAACGTCCGAAAACTAACTAACTTATTTTATTTTTTGATTTCTTGAGAGCGTCTGAAGAAGGTGGACGAATATGATGTAGATTCTACATTGTAGAATAATGGAAATTGGTTATACAACCATTTTTTTTTATTTTTCTCATTGGTGAACCAAGAACCTTTGAACTTATTGGTGCAATTTTGTGAAGGTGTGCTTCCAGGAAAGGGAATAATTCTACATTTTGAAGGTCATAAATCCTGGCTAGGTGAGGCCTTGAAAACCCCCTTTTTTTGCTGGCACGGCCTGCAGTGGATTACATGGAAAAACAAGGTTCTGCCGGGTAATGAGTTGTCTTCAGCAGACCCACTCAGACCCAGTCAGATACTTCTGAACATGTGCTCGCGTGTGGATGCCCGGAAAGTTGAGGGGTTGCCCACAATAAATGAAGGGTTTGATGGTTCCTGGTCCTTGTGAGGAATTCTAGGATTGACAAAAAATGGGAAATTGCTGAAGAACTGAGGGTTTTGGGAAATACTGTTTTTCCTAGCTGACCAGCCACTTTGTCCAAAATTACTTGGTCGTAACTTCCTTTGAAATTACCGGATTAAATAGATAAACAAAGACTTGAAATTATTCTGTTATTTGCGTCCTCCCTTTTTATTCGTTCTCCAAAATGTCTGTTATTTTAAACTATTGTAATGCGGATATAAAATTCCCCAATGTCAGCCTCGGGAATTCGTAGGGAATTAGTAGTTGTCGAAAATAAAATTGTCGGCTAGGAAAATAAAATCCAACCGAGAGGCCCGAGCCAATGAGGGGGCCCTTTACGAAAACTTATCAAGAGAGTTGCGCAGCATTCGGGCCGCCCTCAACAAGTGTGTAGCGTGAGGAAAATCACGTCACTCTCGCATCGGGCGATATTAGAATAAGTACTCTCGCTCACGCATTGGGCGTTAATAAAATAAGTTCTCCGTGTCTATACTTATATTGTACGGCGATTGCCACTGTCTTAAATTAAAATATATTTTTGTCAATCGAACTTATGTTCTGTGTAATTGTCAACCAAATCTAGGAGAGCAGTTCCCGGGGCAGTAAAAGTAAGTATTCCGTGGTTCTGTAAATTCTCTCTTCTTGGTCTGTCATCTATTAATCTATTCTATTACGGGTCACCAGAGTCGAACCTACCCTGATCGAGTCTAGCCTTGTAATAAAATTGTTTAAAATTTAGTAGTCAACCACATCAAAGTTGATTGGCGCCCAACAACTAATATTTGATAATTTTCTTGAGCCCCGGCAGCTCTTGACCTAAGCCGCGCTAGGTGGAATCTTTCGGCAAATTAATAAAATTCTTGTCACAAAAAAGATTCAGTCTCACTATTTTTTTTTCCTTACGAATAGTAAATTATAATTAAATACAACTCGGCAGTAACAAAATTGATTTTGTTGGAGACGAAACAGTCATTTTTGACCTAAGCAGATATTGACTAATTAATCTAAAAATGATTTTTATTTTTAATTTAAAATTCATGGGCCATGAATCAGTATAAATACTTTTTTCAGCATTGAACTGTTTTTGGGTTATTTTTCTATTGTTATTAATCTGGACTATTGTCTTTCTCCATCTAAATTTACTCATTTCATGGATGAGTTTCATATCTTGACCACAGCTTTTGCAAAGACTGTGCCGTTTGATTACTCCTTTTTGAATTAAAAATTCCATAACTTTTTATGAATTTATATTAATTTTGAATGCTTTAAATAAAGTCGTTTTTAATGAATAGACTAACACTCATATATAACTTATTTGGGTTGTTACTAGTTATGGTTGTGTTTTTAAATTATAATAATATTAAGTTTTATAAAGGTTGGTGTTATGATGTATTACCATGACTTTTTTACTTACTGTACTAATATTTACCTCCAATCCAAAGAGAAAGAATTCTAATGGCAATTTAAGCTCGTCGTGATGTAAGTAGATAATAATTCGAGAATTTGTTGATTCGTTATTTCAACCGTTATGTAGTTTTTAAAAAGAAATGAATTTATTCGTTAAACCACTTTAAATTGATACCTTGATTCCATATAATTATATTCCCGTTTCCAATTTTAGTCCGCAAAAAATATCCTCCGACCGGAGGGTCGAAAACTCATATATTTTACGGTAAAAGCAAACACCGTTAGAGGAAAATTGAAATTCATTGACTAGTAACTCTTAATTTCTCCTTCAATTTTCACTATTTACTCGTTCATGCAGAATTACCATTGAAAATCAATCATAATATAACTGAATTGAAGAGTTACCTCATTTCTCCGCCATTTTAATTATTAAAAAGACGGTTCATAAAATAGGGAAAAGCATTGGGTAATTCCTCACATCTTTCTGGAATCCTATTCTAAAACTATATAGATACAAGGATCTATCAATCAAAATAGGGAGTAAATCGAGTAACCCCTCGATTATCCTGTTACAAAAGTCCTTGAAATTTTTGAAGTTCTACTAGTCCGGGAGAAAATACGTGACAGTTTTGTCGCAATTTTGTCGGAGAAAACTATAAAACTTACCCCTCATTTTTCTTTTTTTCCTAAGACTTTAGATTAAAGTTATTGAAATGATGTTACATCCAACGATTACGGGACTACTTAGAAAAAAGACATTATCACGTTGAATTTACGAGAAATCATAAATAGTTTCTATTATATGGTTTGACGTTGTTTTTACTTGCAATTCTGTAAACAAAACAATACATGGCTGTTCCGTCGTGACAGTTTCTGCCCGTATCATTAAAATGATAAAATTTACTGCTTGTCTCTCATTTTTCCACAGAACTTCAGATAAAAGTTATTGGAATGATTTCACACCGGACGATTACGTGACTAGTCATGTAATTTTTTCGATATTTTTCTCTTCGCGTCGTGGATAAAAACCACACGCGAGTGTCTAAAATTTTACAGTACTTTTTTCCTAGTCGGAAGTATTGTTTACTTGACACTTCATAAAATAACACTCTAGATTCACCATGGCTTCAGGTTTTATAATATTATTATTAACAACTGTTGCCATTCTTCCAGGTAAGAGCCAAATAATAATTATTATTATGAGAATTTTTCAGTCTGAATATATCCAATGTCTTGATCATCTCTTCAAATTGAGTTTTTATTGGCTATTTCTGCTAGTGAAATTACAAATTGCTGTCCACATGGATGCGATTTGGTTTATGTGACATTAAATAAAATTGATGAATATTTACCAAAATAATTAATTGACGGGATGAAAACCGTAAAATTAACACCAGAATACAAACGTTTAGTTGTTTGCATTGATCATGTCTCTATCGATACAAAATCGGCAAATTATATTTAAAATGATCTGCGTTGAAGGTGGTCTATTGTGTAAAATTCTCCGACGGTTGGCATGCTAATACTATTGTGTTGTGTTCGACCATGGGGATTTGAATATTTAAAAAAAAAACAGAAACAGTGGATTTGAAAATCGAGCGAACGAACGCACAATTTCCCAATCCACACGTGACTTTATAAACGGAATTCAATAAACAAGGCAGAAGTTAAACACTGCATCAGCATTCTAATACCTCTCCACCCTGGGCATTGAGCCCCGGTGACAACGGCAGCGGCCGAAAATCGAAAGACACAACGAGTTAGTCTTTTCCGAGCACCATTAACGGGCACACCAAGGGGCAAAGTTCTGGTTAGTGCCTTCCGACTCCTTAATAAAATAGTAGTCATACACTCTGTAATAGCCACCAAGTTATTCTATTCAACAATAAATGAAACCTTATTCTGAGATACTACTTTCATCATTCAACCAGAATCTTCCCTTAGTTCTCTGTGAATTTACTGATGTGTTTACACTTCAAGGGAGGGGATCCACATTAAATAAAAATAATTATTTTCTTACGCGGAGCGGAGAAACTGATCGAAACAAAATCAAAGACTCAATCAATTTCCCAATCTAACAATTGATAAATTATTTTTAGAGGTGAAGAGCATAGAAAAAGTGACTGACCCGAGGGAGTTTCCTTTCATTGCAATTATTAATGGCCATCCTAATCCCGTAACCTTTGGGGTCCTGGTCACTTCTACAAAAGTTGTAGTATCTTCCGTACATTTGCCCGAGCGACCTATGAGTGTAACGATCCAAGTGGGATGCGTATTTCTAAGAAATTGCACTACTCCAGAATTATCGGTTCGCCTGTTTGGTGAAGACATGGTACACGGGATAATCGTATTAACGGTAAGCCACTCAAGCACCTCTAATAAGAAACAAGAATAATTAGACCCTATGTGTACACATTTGAATTTTCAGCCTCGATTATGAATATGTGGAGATTATATTAACCAATGAGAACTGAACTCTGTTTGAAGTACAAAAATGTGCCTCTTTCCCCGACCCGCTTATACTCGCAAATACTTTTTTTACTGGTGCATGGGATTCGCGTACAGCGACAGATTAGATGAAAAATTATGTAGCATATTTTAATAGAAGCGGTACATAAGGGAGATTCTTTCGGAAAAATTAAACTAGTGAACCATTCCATAGCTAACGGGAATCAAGAATACAATTGAGTTGGATTCAATTTGGTGAAGACTTTAAAGGGGATAACGGATCATAGTATGATGTTTATCCGTGCCAAATTATTTCTTTAGCCATGACAAATTACTAATTGTTCTATCTTGAAGGGACCAATTCATTTAATTCCACCAGATTCTGAGTGTACATGAGTCACTTCTGTGAGATTTATTAAATTTCCTCAAATACTCATAATAATGAGAATGTGACTCATGCGACGGGACGACTCTCCTTGATTTCCCCACCCAGGAATGAACAGAGCGAGTGGGAAAGCGAACCATCTAACAACACTATATATTTAAAATGTACGTTGAAGGCTCGGTTGAATTATTTTGTTATCTCATGAAGCGGGATTTTTTTTTAAATTTTTTTTTAACGTAAAACTTGATCCAAGCCTGCATCAAACAGAGCTGCACCACATAAATCTCTAGAGTATATTGGAACATGGGTGTAAGTGGATAAATGACTTTTAAGAAGCAGTGTAATACTTGATCAGGGATTCTTTATTAGCACCAGGAAGGTACGTGTTAACTAGAGAGTTCTCCAAGGACTGACTATGGCCACAAAGGCAAGGATTCTAACAGGAAAAACCAAGAACAAAAGTTAAGGTTTATGACATAAGGGAACACAGTCCTTCTTCAAATTCCAACATATTTTTAGCATTAAACCATTCTAGAAAGTGGAAAAGAAACGATTGTAAATTAGTCCTTTTTCTTAGACTATTTTCTCCAGAATGTCATACATTTTTGTCCACAAATTTTGTATAACATTGGAAGATCTATACTCAAATATTACAACAAAATATTTATCAAATCTGAGCAAGTGATAAGTCACATGAGATATTTTTTAATATGATCAGGTCAATATTATGATCATAATATAGGCTAAATCGACCGGTAACAGATTTTTATTGGTTTCGCTTTTTTCTGAAAGGATTCTCTCATTTTCGTTTTTTCATTTTTTCAGCTTTTCAACGATACCATGACTATCCACGGTCGGCCAATACCAATAGGTCTTCCAAAAATTTATACTAACTATCCGTGTCGATTCGTAGCATCGGATTGGACTGATGGCAAGATATACTCTATAGAGGTGCGAACTACCAGTCGATCCAAATGTCTGCAAATGGGAGTGAATGTCCCTCCGGGCTACATATGTATTGTAAATCCAATGTTTTCTGGCAGGTTCGACAAGGTACGCATAAATATGGACCGGAGGACCTATTAATACAAATAAATTACTTCTACTAATTAATCGCATTTTATGGAGAAAAACTGCTGTTTTTTTTCTCACCACAGGCAGGCGGTAGCTCGGCACTGTTTTGTAACGGACGGCTGGTTGGACTAAGTAATAGAGAATCAAACGTAAATTATTATGTAAACTTCATGTATGATGTAACTTATCCCGGTCTGCTGTAAATAGTTAATTTAGTTAATAAATTTATTTATTGCTACTTTTATTTTTTATTCGCCGAATGCGTCAGCTGTCCAGGGTCACATTGATGAAGCTTACGCCATTCGACTCGACTAATGAGGAATTAGTCCTACACGATTCGAGATATTTCAACTCGGGCGAACTTCATTTTTGTGTTTCTACTTTCCCAATAAGGATTCCAAGTTTTTATTTATTACCGTATTTCGCGGTTTAACTGGATTTGAGGTTTTCCGGTATCCAAAAGATTTATATTCCTACGACAGGGTTTACCTTCTGACAATCAGAGCCTGTATGTACGGTCAATTTTATATGAATTTGTAGTGTTTCTACTTCGTTTCTACCTTTCGAGGGTTTTGCCTTTGTTTTCCTGGGCTTTGCATATTTCGAGGGTTTTCAAATGTTTCCAAGTATCACTTCATAAATGCTGTTTCTGATTTTTTGAATTAGGGAGAGAAGAATCGCTCAGAAATGGTCTAGACATTTTAGACACTATTCTTCTTGGAGATTGCATCCGTCCACTGAAATTTTTATTATCAAAACGGATAATTTACATATCAATATCAAGTTAAAGATTACTAAAATGATTACCAAAAAAATTACTAACAATTTCGCTGTTTGTAAACATTTATTCATTACGGGCCCGGACTGATTGTCGGAATTTATGACCCGTTTCTCCCATATGATACTTTCCGAAGCAGAGCACGAAGATAATTATTGATGTTCCCCCACCTCACAAAAGCATCTAATTACGAATACCGATTTGCCACCTTTCTCGACTATAGCCAACTGGCTAATGAGGAATTTTCGCTCTACGAGGACGAGCAGATTGCTTGAAAATGACTTTTTGTTTTGACATAAATGTAAATAAGTAACAGTATTGTGCTTGCTATAGTCTAAAAAAAGTATAGAAGCGAGAAAAAATAAAAGAAAGAAAGAGGAATTTTTGCGTATCATGAAAAAAAAACTGATCACTATGCGCTGAGTTTTTATTTATGAGATTTGATTGATTTCCTTCGTTATTTCCGGGAGGGGTCTAGGGCCCTAGGTGTATCGCCGCTTCCGACTCCGTTTTCTGTTCAAGTTTCGGAATTCATCGGTATTTTTGTATAGTTTTCCCTACACAGAGAAAAAAATTCTTAAAAAATTACGTACTTGTTCCGTAACTTGCCAGTCAAAACAGTGTTCAGTAAAAATTACGGAACAGTTAAGCATTTTTTCACTGAACATTCCGTACTTCTTTGTGGACTTTTTCCGGCAAGTCCACTGAAAAAGTGCGTAACTGTTCCGTAATTTTTACTGAATATTGTTTTGACTGGCAGGTTACGGAACAGGCACGTAATTTTTTAAGAATTTTTCTCTCCGTGTATTTTTGAGCTAAGTTATATATCTATGTTACTTGGTTAATTGGTTACTTGGATAATTTCTGGTTGGATTAATTATACGATAATCATTCCACTCATTGATTGAAATGCTCCGAGAGTATTCGAAGTTGGTGTTTTTTCTTATGAACTCTCAGATCAAATTTCGATTTCATCTTATCACTTCTCAATTCCCAATTCCCCGAACTTGTTGCTGTGTTTCTACTAGTCTTCCCTGTAATTGATCGACGTAATCAGGAAGGTCTATATGATTGTTGGTATCATTGGTTGGCGGGGTACCATGGAGTCAATCCAAGGAAAGTCGGAATTCTCTACCAAACAATAGCATTGCTGGGAAACATTGAGTTGTTTGATGTTTTGAAGACCGATATGCCACTAAGAACGATGGGAGCCATGTATTCAGCCTTTTTAATTGTCATTAATAAATTTTGCTTGGTAATTTAGGATTTTTCTATTCAGGCATTCCACCATACCATTAGATTGTAAATGTAGAGGTGTAGTATGCGTTTTATGGATGCCTAGAAGTTTCATAAGTGATTCAAAAACTTCATATTGAAAATCTCCTCCTTGATCGGAATGAATTTCTAATGGTATGCTGAAACGTGAGATGACGTGTGTTACTAGGACTTCAGCAACAGTAGTTGCTCGGTGGTTTGGAAGCGGAATAGCTTCAGGCCAACGGGACAAATAATCGGTAATAACGAGAACAAATCAATTACCACTAGATGTTCTGGGTAACGCGCCCAAAATGTCAATCGGGATTCATTCAAAAGGAAAACCGACACTATAAATTTGGAGGTCTCCCCTGACTCGTCGCGAAGGAACATCTCGGCTGAAACATACAGAAAATTGTTGTTTTCTTACGAGACTCCCGTTCAGCATTCAGCGCGGTGATGCACCTTCATGGAAAATTAGCAGTTTTCCACTGAACATCAATCATAATATAATTAAATTGAACAGTCATCTTATTTTTCTGCCATTTTAATTCTTAGAAAGATGATCTTCTGTTATCTTGTTATAAAACTCACATTTAATTCGAATGTTGATGAAATGTGCTCTAAATGTGTGTTCAATTTTCTTCAACTTGTCACGTAAGCGCAGAAGGATTAAAGAGGTGTCCGATGTTTTCCGCCATTCACATTTTGAGTAAGGCCGGTCCTTTGAAGACAAGTCGATCATTCAATAAGAATGGAGCATTAAAAAAAACGGCCGATCAAAACAAATGCAACACCACTTGCTCTTCTAATATATAAGGGAATAATCGATGGTGAATAGAATTTCCAAAATATTTGCACTACAATTAATCAATTAATCAAATTGCTGATGAAAATTTTTGATGACTTAATGACTAAATAATTTTGATCCATGAAACAACATAATAAATACGTGTGAAGACATCTGCGTTTCCTCCAGCGCATGGAATCCCCCCGATTCTCTCAACCCACGAGATGATCCCGATAATTTCATTCTGGTGGATGAGAGGACCACCGCTATCGCCCTAAAATGTTAAATTGACAAAATATTTATTAGTTTATTGAATGTGTGGGAAGTGTCGAGTACTCACGATACACATTCCACTTCCTGGGCAGATTTGTCGAGCAATAATTAATTTCCCATAAATCTTTCGGCATTTCCTGAGGTTGACTGTTATCTTCAGTTTCGGCAAATATCTCATCTATTTTCATGTCTCACCGTTAAAATGTCCTCTATCCCAACTACGCGTGGTAGTCTCTACACTCAATTGTGTGTCACTCACAATAAGTGTATATTTTGAAATGTATTGGTGTAATTTAAGTGTTCCCGATTTCAACTGTGACAACATAGATCGCTCCACGTTCAAGATTTTTAGGATCGTCCGCAAAAATCAGACAGTGCGCGGCAGTTAAAATATGAGTTGCATCGAGAATACTTCTTCCACAGAAATGTTGATTCCATTTCTCCATAGACACCTGACATTAAAAATGCCCCAGCCTCACTGATTTATCGTTAGCAATTTTCAAACGAACTGCTGCATGTCCACGTACGATTAATCCTAAATTGCCCTCAATTTTTATCCAATTCTCAATATTTATTTCAATTATCTACACTGAGAAAATAAATCGTTAGAATTTTCGCCTCAGTCTAATCGATTGGATGCGAAAGAGGTACAGATGATGGGGCGGCATTTGACCGTTATTGTGATAAGACTTAATAGCATTGCCCTTAAATCATTCCAATTTGTCACAATCCAAATAATGATCCGAAAAATTAAATGAATGCCAAAGATCCCCACAATTATCACCGTCGATTGTTCTAGGTTCAAATCAACTATTCGGAAATCTGTGATATTCTTGGTACAAGAGTAATCCAATTTCACCCCAATTTTACCACCCTATTCAAAACAGTCTCGTTACTCAGGCATCAAAGATTGGACAATAACACATCCATACTCCAATTATCTTTTTTTTTCGAGAGGAAATGAAGTTTTTCTTTCACCAGGGTACGTATGATCAGCAGCTTGGAAATTTTCTTCTGTTGCTATCCTGCTCTCAAGCTATGTAAAATTTTGTAAATTTATAAGTTTAATAAATTTATCAATGTATTAAAACAGTTTCATATTAGTGGCTGCATTTTTTAAATTCCCTCGACCTCGTTCGATTATCCTTAATCGACACTAGGGGGATTGGCGAGTATTGAAATTGACCGAGTTATTGTTACATAAGCCGACTGCGCACTACAGCACAAAGATGAAAAATAAAAACATATAGTATAGGATGCTCTGGATGAAAAAATGAAATATATAAATATCCTGTAATGCTGTACTTCGAAATATTTTCAAACTGATAAATTGTATTACTTCATGATTGTCGGCTTGATGGACTAATTTTGAGATGTTCTCAAATGTTCCATGCAGTATGTGGCAATGATTTGGAGTGAGGACAATATTCAAGACATTTATGCTTATAATCATCTTCGAGAAGAATTTCTTAATATCTAGCAAAAATGCCAATATGATTTGAGATTCCACTCGCATCCAGTCTATGTCAGGGCCCGGCAACGTGGCCTCATCGGGCACACCCGCCTCCCGAAATTCGTTAGTGAGAGCTGGGAGAGGGGCCTCATCCACTTAACGCAGGACCCGGCAACCTTCAGGTTGTCGGGAGCCAGCCTCATACAAGGGTCGGGATCATCCTTTCATCCTAATAGGAGCCCAATTAGCCAACCCTTTGCGAGCACTAATCTCTATATAACTGGATCACTGATCTCTATATAACTGGATAGACTATCCCTATGCCCCCACTACGCCGACACTGAGGCAGTACTGTAGGACAAGCAGCGCCTCAGAATAGTAGCTCGAGTACTACAGTGCCCTTGACTGCCCATGCCCGTCACCCAACGGAGGGTGATGCAGACGGTAAATGACGCTGGAAAAATGACGCCATAACGATTTAGTTCACGTGACGACTCGGTAATTTTTTAAAAGTGTCCGGTTGACAAAAATATATTTTCTTCCTTGAGAAAAATGCGGTGTGTTTACTGCGGTAAAACAAACAAGACGCATGAGAAGACATCTTTTCATCGGTGAGTACATAACAGTATTTGATCAATATCGAATAATTCACCAACAATATCAACTAACAACATCAAAAGTAGTTATTCAAAATTTTGATCATTATAGGTAAAATTTTAAATACAGGGAAGTAATTAATATCCTTAATTTTTAATAATTTATTGAAGGAACAGAGTGATGAAATAATCTGCGACCTTACGCATCTGATATTGTTTGCAAAAATACTCAAGAATTTGGTTGCTCGATTATTGCTGAAAAATTCAATCACTTATTGTCACTGGCTAAAAAATTGAACGTTAAAAATTAGAATTGATAATTAGTTAGATATGAAAAATTTATTTGATGGTATTGGTGGATTTTGTACGCAATCAAATAGCAATAATTGAAATTTATAATTTTGATTATCCCATTATCTAATATTCACATTGCTAATTTTTTTAATACATACAGATTTCCGAACGATAGGAAGTTGGTGAAGGTCTGGGTGAAGAACATGGGCAGACTGAATTTTGTGCCGAAACCGTGGCATCTGCTCTGTGTAGAGCATTTTGCTGAAAACTACATCGATTTCCGGGACTTGAGAGCAAGGTTGCGGAAGGGATCTGTCCCAACGATCTTCAAAGATAATAAGGAAAACTTGGCCTTTCCGTCCGATACATAACTTCATGTACGCGCCTGTAAACGTAAGTTATTTCCAATCGTACGCTAGGATTTTTTTTTCTTATAATTGAAAAACCCGCAGAATCTATTTCTTAGGTCACTCGAATATAAAAATGTTTTCAATGAATTTGGATATCCTGATTAATTTTGTATTTTAGAGATGAAACTTGATTGGAGTTTGAGTGGCCAAGAAGTAGCTAAAAAGGACTCACCTACCACAACCCGAATGGAAATAGAAGGTAAAATTTCAATCAATATGAACAGTGAGAAATGATCAGGAATGACACTAAAGATTTTTGGTCATGTTTGCAGGTCTACGTCAGGAAATTCCAGCGTCACGGATGGAAGTGATTTCCCACGACCATACCTATGCAGAGGTTGGAGAACTTACTCTACGTAAGTTGGAAAAAACGCAGACGAGACTGAGAAAAATTATGCGGGACAAGAAAACGCTCCAGCAGAAGACATGCCGATTCCAGAAGAGAATCAACAAATTCAAGGAAATCGTGACCTCAATGCAGGAAGCTGAGAATCTTGCAGCTGAAGGTATGTACAGTATAGATGGTCTGAATGATATATGTGTAGAGCTTGTGATGAACCCCGCGAGAATTCATCACCCGTGCGGAAAATAAAAGAGGAAGGAGGAGTAATAATAAAAATAAATTGTAAAATGAAATACGGGCAGGCGGGAACGGGGGAATGAGTGAGAGTGTGGAGAGTTAAGTAAAGTAAATAGGGGAGTAGTGCGGAAAAGGATAGAGGAGAAGCAAGGAGAGACAGAGAAAAAGGAAATACCGGAGGATACCGTGGAGTTGCCAGGAGTTATCTGCCGAATACGAGCCCCGCGAGATCACCTCGCCCGAAAAGGGCCCGGCTGGCGAGAGGCAAGATAAACGGCAGACCAGGCACGGATCTGTGGAGGAGGAAACACGCGGCTAAGTCGGAGTGATGACCCGCACCCCCAACTGTCGAGGGGATGGACCACCGAAGATGGGAGGCCTCGTCGCGATACGAAACCCATCGTCGCGATACGAAACCCATCGTCGCGAGGGTACCCGGCAGAGAAAAGCACCAGGTGAAAAGTCTCCCGGGGGCAAGCCGCGCAGACACTTCCTCGCCCCTGCGCAACTCGCGAAGAGGGGAGAGCCAGAGGACACCTCCGATAGCGGAGTCGTGAGGAGAGTCGACGTTGGGCAGCGATGGGGAGCTCACGCGTACGGGAGTGGATCAGCGAGGCCCTGAAGCCCGCGAGGTCGTGCCCGGGACGCCCACCCCCTGGCCCGAGAAGCCCGGAAAGGCTCTCGAGCCGAGGAGTGGCCCCAAGGGTAGCCCAGGAGGCTTTTTAGCCCCTGGGAAGTATTATCGGTACCGGGGGCAACCCCCCCCCCCCCCCCCCCCCCCCCCCCCGGGAAAGGAAATTGGTTCCCCAGGGCAGGGGTTGGGGCCACCCCCAGGTAAGCCCCGTCCCCCGCCGCCGACACGAGAGCATTGACTGAGAGTATGTGAGCGAGCAAGTGTAGAGTGTAAAATGTGAGTGTGAGTGTAAATCCCGCCTGACCCGGTGATACCTGAAGCAGGAAAATAAAATTATGATAAACGGTCAATCACGCGGAGTTAAGTCGATCCCCGGACCCCGCCCTCTCTCCAAAACCTACATCCTGAGCAGCACGGGCACGTAACCCCATCCTAGCCCCGCGACCCCGGGGAGAGCAGTTAGCGGATCTAGCAAAACGCAGTGCAGAGGTAAGGGGGGAAGCATCAAGGGCCAGTTAGCGGACCTGGCATATAAACGAAAACGCAGTTAGGGGTTTCTTCGCGCCGCAGGTTAAAAGCCCAGTCTCGCCCAGGGGTGGCGCTGGGTTACTAAACTTTAAACTAAAGTAACTAAAGTCACCTGGTGCCTGACGAGTATTTAATTAAAAGAGCAGTTAGGGGGAGCATAGGGCTAGGGTGGTACGGGTATGGACAGGGATCGCCGAAAAAACGAGTCCAACCCGAGAAAAGCGTTACAAGCTTTTCCAACGTTTACATGAGAATGTTAAAATGGGTAAACGGTCTAAAGTGAAATATCCTGCACATCTGAGGTGTTTTGCGTTGACTTGAACCAAAATTAGACATTTTTTAACAAGACAAATTGTTTGGGCTCATCAATAGTGTTTTCTCTCTTCATTGCGCTATCTCTTCCGACTCTTCCGAATTTTTTTACGGCCATATCGAACTGTGATAATTTTTATTTAAGAAAATTCTTCCTCCAATTTAAATTACGAGTTACTCTGACCAATGACAAACATTTCTAATTTTTGTCATGTATCCATACATTTTCTTATTTTTTTTTGTATTCGGGATAGTTTCAACTTTTTCCATTATGCCCAGAAGCTCCTAACTAAAGTTGGAGGAAGAAAGTTTCTTGCATGAAAAAATATTAAATTTCGCTTATTTCATATTTATTTTATCTTGTTTTTCCAATACAATATTTCATAATATCTATCGTAGGTTATTCTATGACATGTTATTCTATGATATGTTTTATTATGTTATGGCTGTTGTTATACTTGATTCCAATATTCTGTTCTGCTTGGCTGTGAACAATTATATTGCCTTCTTCTATTCAAGGGGGAGGTGGGGTAAAATAGTCACTGCGATAAAATTTGGCTTGTCCTTGCCTAATTTGCTCTATTTCTTCCCACGATTTTTTACTTCAATATAATAATTCTCGAATTCGAATTACTGATGTGCCATTAATCACTTTTTTTTAGATCAATAATAGGATTGCTGATTGCCAACTGAGACCTCCTTTACTGTAAGAACCTTTCAACTTTTTAACATGTAGTAGTCAAATGTACAGAATAAATATCCATATTTAAAAATTCTGTATAATCTTTTCATGATTGGTCGCTCCGCCTATATTGTTTACTGAGAATTTGACTACAGGTAGAAAAAAATAATCCCTTTAAACTTTGTTCAAAAAGTGAAAAATTATCCAATCATCATGAATAGTATTATATTTTCTTCTTACCCAGTAAAGATTTTTCATTGTAATCAGCTCAAATTGAACTAAATATGGAATCTTATTTCCCGATAACGAATATAAAAAAATGCCAAGAATATTCATTTCCTTTTAGCTTTTCCTATGCAGATCCCATGCCAAGAAATACATTAAAAGTTCAAACGACCCAGTTCCCGCTATTTTTGATGACTTGTATCTCGTGGAAATTTACCCAGAAACTTTCCGGCTACTCTGGATAAACATGCTTCTCCCCTTCCACTGACAACTGCGCTGAGCATGCGCACTTGATAGAACTTTAGTTCCCGGACTACTATTCGGACGCGCTGATTGACTTTCAAATCCGCCTCACTAGGGGAATACGCGATAGTCTATCCAGTTATATAGAGATCAGTCGTACTAGCTCACCTGAACAGGTACTGTTAGTGGCGCCGAAATTTGATCAAATTTTTTGGATGCCAGACCTGGTATCTCGCAGCAAGGAACCACCACTGACAATCGAGAATCTAGCGGAAGTGCTAGTAGGCCTGACAACACACCTCCCGCCTCCAGAGCTGGACCGTCTTTGTCTCCAGGTGTGGAGGGTTGGATGTGGAACCAATTAGTTCATAACTGGACAGCAAAGGGAAAGAGCTTAGTTAATAACAGTTGGCGGGCTTCCACTCTGGAAACATATAAGGTACCAATTCGTCGCTGGCTTGGCTGGTGCCAGGATAACAACATCGATCCAGGCTTACCCCAGGTTCACAACGTGGCCAGATTCTTGGCAAACCTCTTCCTCAAGAAGAATCTATGGTACAGCACAATTTTCTTCACAAGTCTGCGGTTGCCACCTTTTGCTCCGGCAAGTCATCGTCATCGATCTCATCGGATTTCCTAGTCCGACAGGTCCTAAAAGCTACATCTATAGCTAGATCTAGGGAAATCAAGGCAGACATTTGGGACGCGCAGCTGCTCTTAAACTGGCTCAGCACTACGATTCCTGACTCATCACTTTTTCAATTATCCAGAAGAAGTGCAGCCCTGCTACTTCTGATCCCAGGCCGTCGAATCCATGACTTGACCTTGTTGAAAGTTTCCAACGACTACCTGTCTTATCTGGGGGATGAAATGATTTTGTGGCCTGCGTTCGGATCCAAGACTGATCGTAATCGATTGCGTCAATCAGGCTGGGGGCTGTCCACGCGCCCTAACATTCGTCTGTGCCCAGTAACATTAATCAAGGCCATGGTAAAGAAGTCAGAAGAGACGTGCCACGCAGGGCTTCGACGAGCTCTTTATTACTGTTACAGGACTTGTAAAACCTGCATCTGTGACGATCATTTCCGGTTGGATCCGTTCAGCTCTCCGGGAGGCTGGCATAGCAGCTTCTCCAGGTAGCATACGCTCAGCAGTAGCTTCACGCAGCTGGCTGGATAACGTTCCCGTAGAGGAAATTCTAGCACGAGGCAACTGGAGGTGTGCTAAAACTTTTCGAAAACACTACTGTCGCCAGGTTGCCATCAAGGAAAAGACGAACACACTATCCTCGCATTTCAAACCAGTTTGAAAAACCAAAGTTTATTTCTATATCTGTAGAGTAGTAAGGTTGTCTAATTGGATAATTAAATACTGTTCCTTATAATCTCATTTCCTTCGCTGACCCTTAAAAAAAAAGAAGAAGAAGAATCATCACATAGCGTTAATCGGGGTGCCAGCAGAAAACAAACACATCTCTCATAAGGATGCCGTGTCTCGGCCCAAAGCACATAATATCAGTGTTTTGAACTCCAACAAAACACCTGTTATGCGCGGAGGCCGATACACGGCATCCTGGCAAGTTTCTTGCTGGCGGAGAATCTCTATGAAATTAGCCACAGCTCCCGCTGCTCAGCAGGCGCCCCGCGCATGCCCCAGGACCGATTACGAGAGGAAGGAAGGGCAAAGAGGGGGGTCTTTAGGCCGAATCTTCAACAGCTTCTCTGATAAGGATGCCGTGTGTCGGCCCCCGCACATAACAAGTGTTTTGTTGGAGTTCAAAACACTGATATTTGCAATCGATTTTACGCATTAGCTCTACTCCCCGCGTATAATTGGCCGGTTGCGCACTGAAATGTAACATAATGTAAAATAATGCTAGTGTTTTCACGCGTAAAAAACAAAACCAACTCCCTTCAAGTGGAATATACTAATGCACGTAAATAAATGCTGCGTGTACTCGAATCAATTAGGTACAGGTTTGAATCAGACTAGAACAACAAAAGAATACAAGACCTATATTCAAAAATGAATAATCCCTTCATCAAAACGGGATGTTATTTTCCCGCGTAATTTCTGATTTGAATCAAAGAAAGAAAAGATTAAATGACGATCAATCGCATAGACATTTGATGAACGTTTTGTTTCTTGGCGTGTGGCTATGGTTGTTACCTACTTTTCGCCAATATATTCCAATACTGTTCAACGAAACCACGGGAAGGCGGTAAGAGTATTTCATTAGGAATGGTGCCAAAAATATAGAAATGAGAAAAATTATAGGAAATATTGCCGGATAAAAAAATAGGGAATGATCGGAGAGGATCAATCATTCATATATCATACACCATACATCCCATCAGCATTTGTTCTTTATGTAAATGGAATATTAAAATTATAAACCCGAATGATATTTGAATCAAGAGAGTCAATGAGAAGAATAACCCATCAGACTGAATAACAATTATGTTTCAGTCTCGCTCATAATTAGATATTGCTATGATCTGATGAGTTAATATTATTCATGTATGTAAATACCAATTCGCACGAGTACGAAGGACCTAAAATCAGTCTTTCTTCAGTTGCTGCTCATGTTATAAAAAAATTATTTGGAAATGAATCAATAGAAATTCCATCATCTCGTGGTGAATAAATTTTATTCATAATCTTTCCACAAGGCCTACATCGACACTTCTTCAGAAATTTGAAAGTGAGTATCAAAATTATAGTTATCTTCGGTGGTTAAACTGAATTCTCCAAGCTGATCTGCCAATTTCCCAGCCACTTTTTCCCTTTTAACTTTTTCCTTTTTCTGTTTCTTAAATTCAAGTTTATTGAGTTTATTTAATTTCTGGTTTCCCTCAATATGAAATAATGGTATCACCTTCTTTTTTCTAGAATTAGGTTCTGATTTTATTTTTACCATTTTTTTATTTTCTCTCTCATCAAGTTTTTGGAGTTTGAATTCTTTCTTCTTTACTTCAACCTCCATAGCGAATTCTACTGGACCTGTACTGCTTATGATCAAAGGATCGATGACTTGAGTTGTTTTTAACGCTTCCTTGGTTACGTCATCCAACATCATTTTCTCGTCTGCTGTGAATTTTTCAATGTCGAATTCTTTACAATCTTCTGTTATAATTGCAGCTGACACTTGACCGGAAGGTAACTCCGGAGGAACTGTGTAATATCTGGAAAAATGAAAGCAAAGAGTCATTAGAATGATAATCCCAAAACTATTGAGAGTTTTATAAGAAGAGATCCATTGAATTCCCCAAGTGATATCTGTTGCAAGCAAGGCCAGAGGTAAGTCACAGGGAGTCAAGACAGATCCTAGAAGTTCTAGGCAGAAATCTGCCTGAGCAATACAAGACAAAAATGTCCTGCTTATTTTTGAAGGTTTCTGTTGCGTTGTTTTGTTCTTCTTCTTTTTCTTTTCTCAATATCTTTTTTAAGAACTACGAATTAGCCCACTTAAGGCCCGGTTGGAGTATCTATCTCGTATAGATCATTTTTTTTCATGTTTTTTCTTATCTGAAACTTTGTTGCAGTCCTGCACGAAGCAGAGCTGTATCAGATAAATGCATGTAGGCTGCACAAAAAGTAAAAAAAAGAAAACCAAAAATATAGAGTCCGTACTTTTTTATCAAAATGGGAGGGTAATTGTACAAAAGCATAAGTTGGAAATATCTAATTTGATGGAGCAGGAAGGAGACGGGGGCGGCAAAAGAAATTTTAAAAACGAATGCAAAAAAATAGATAATAAGGTTAAGTGAATAAAAAATCAATAAATACATTTTTTTGATACATCTCTGCTCGATACGGACTGTACCAAAGATTGAGATAAAAAAAATCTTCCATTCCGAAGCAACAAGCAGAGGTTAGGAGGATATGACAGCAAGCACGTGATTCTGAGCATGTCCATGCGCTATTTCTTATATCTTTCATTGCCATTAATAAATTTATGGTATGCTTCCGAACCGCTAGAGAAAGTGCTCACACGTTTTTATGGACTTTTATTGAAAAATCGATCGTTTAACTCGAAATTTTGCAAAATTGTCGGAAATTGTTGAAAATTTCCTATGATGAGGTATGTGACTTGAAATTAATTAACAATTATGAACTTTTGTCCTTAGTAATACCTATAATTTGACTAAATTTTACGTTTCTCGAAATAATTTTAGCAGTTTATTCCTTTAATTTTCCAAAAGAGTGGGCTATGTTGACCATGCGCACATATATACGTGGTACTTAAATTTGGTTTGTTACGTTTCGGACTATTCCACATTTCTAAAAATGTAGAATTGTACAAACTGAATCACATATATTGATTATTTATTTAAGGTTAGTAAAAATTGCCGAAAGGGTGTACGAAGAAAGATTTTTTGTAAAAGTTAACGTTCTAAAACAAAAACAATATGTTGCAATTTTCTCACTATCTCTTTCGCGCTAATAAATCATCAAAATGATCTCTGAACAGTCTTTGAACTCATTACCACCAAAAAATTAGGCACTTACCTAATTTTGCCAGAATTCCAGTCATTCAGTACACTCCTTGCTGCCGCAGTTACATCGACGACTCCTCCTTTCTTGAACATTCCCATTCGCTCAGCCTTTTTCACAAAAAACTCCTCAGGTGTTTGAAAATCAGGCATATCATACAGCTCCATGATCTGTTTTTTCGAGATTCTTTTCAGTATGACAGAAGCTGGAGTGAAAGGATCCTTCAGACTTTGAATCTTTACAGCGTTCTTCAAAGCAACGGAGGAATCATCTCCTGTGCTATCATCAACAAAAACAATTCCAGGAGAGTCTAATAACCTAATTTTCGAATCTAACTGAACAGTTTGCATGGTTTTCGTAATTCCAGGAGTGCTTCCAATGTTACAAGCCTTACTCCTTTTCAAGGAGTTAATGATGCTGGATTTTCCTACGTTAGGAAGACCCACCACACCCACTTGGATACTCTGCTTAACGTCTCCTGCATTTCTGCAGTAATTTCCAAGGAGAGATAATAATAGTTCTGCACCGAAACATATACTACTCTGAATCATATTCTCTCGTTTAAGGCCTATTTTTTTTCTTCCAATTCTCTTCGATTGCTCTTGGGTGGAGGCCTTGAAGGCAACCGCAGGTAAACTACTTCGAAAATACTTCAACCATTCATCTAAATTCACTCTCGGGACTAAATCTGCTTTGTTGAGAACTATTACGAGCTTCTTGTTGCCTTTTGCCAATCGAACTGCTTCTTCTACCTGTTTGCATCTAGTTCCTAATGGATCTCGAGCATCTACTACTTCCAGAATAACATCTGCCGACTCCAGAACCTTCTTGAATTCTTTGTGATAGGCTTTCAAGGAGTTCTCTTCTCGAAGCGGTTGGAAGGTTGGCGAGGTGGAATCAGTTTGAAGAAGGTGAGCCTGGCCTTTGCTCTCTGCGGAAGACACTAACGCATCGAGATTTGCACAGGAGCGTTTTGCTTTCTTGGCTGCTTGGGCTGCTGCACGGCGTTGTTGTTTTTCTAGTTCATTTTGCCGCTTCATAGCTTCAACTTCTTGCAGAATTTCTTCCTTGAAAGGACATTGATTGGGGATGATCATCATTTTTGAGGTCTCTGAAAAAGATTTTCGGAATTTACCATTTGATGACAAATCATAATTTTTCAGTAAATGAAAGGAGATTAAAATGATTCTGATGGAAAACTTTTAGACGCATGGATATGGCGACTTTCCCTTGATAGCCGAAAATATATCAAAACCTGGGATTAAATTCGTATTGCGGAAACCACTCCAATGGTTATAAAAAAAAAATGAGGGAAACAAGCAGCGGAGAACTCCCATGTAGTGGATACGAAGGTTATGGATATTGAGAGTTGTCAATTTTCATCCATCTAATGAGAACTATTCAATTGCTACCGAGAAATAATGAATATTTTCGAGATTATGCGAGATATTTCCCATGCATTCAAACCTTAGGATTGCAAAAACCATCATTCATCACAGAGATATCGATTGACGTATAAGAGAGGGTGGGGCAAAATTGACCGGTGAACTTTTTTTTTCAATTGATGATGGTATAACAGTTAACAGTTAATTTCATCGTATAAAATTTCTATTCACAAAATTGTCGTTTAAGTGGGCGATTTCTTAGTTATTAAAGAAGATATTACCAAAACAAAAAAAAAATAACAGAAACCTTAAAAAATAAATAGAAAATTTTTCTAGAGGAAAAATCTTCTAGAGGATGTGACATTCGAATGGCAAGTAGGATAAAAAAAATGAGCACCATGTATGTATGTGCGCATGGTCAACTTAGCGCACTCTTTCCGAACATTAAAGGTATAAAGGGCTAAAGTTATTCCGAGAAAACTGAAATTTCGTCCAATTATAGATATTACTACGGACTAAATCTATGCCAATTTTAGATCGATCCGTCCTGCATTTTGCATCGATTTTCATTCGGTTCGAATCCTTTGTTTGTAAATATCTAGACTATCCAACCGATTTCAATTTTTCACCTCTCAAAATATTCAGTTCGATGGACTTTATCTCAATGAGTCAAAATACGTATACCCATTCCCACTAGGTGTTCGGGATACTCCAATTTTTGTTAAAAAAAAAAAAAATTCAGCACGGAAACGATATGAAAATTTGATTCATCAATTTGAAATTTGGCATTGAATTTCCTCTTGGCAATGTAATGTTCGATATTGAAGAACCGCTCAATCGAATCATTAGTTCATGAGATATTCCACTTTGGATCAAAAGCGATTTCCTGCAACTTCTCGAAAACTAACCAACCTTTGTCAATTTTTCATCTCTCAAAATATTCTTTTCGATGTTCTACACCTCAATTGACCGGAATATATATCCCATTGAATCTAGATTTTCAAGAAATGCCAATGTTTTTTTTTCAAAAAAATTTCGTTAGCATGGTAACGTTGCGAAAAATTGATTCACCAACAATTGGTTTTGAAATTTTGGTAAAGCTCTGTGAATTTTCGCAAAAGGGTACTGATAATGTACGAAAGTTCTCCCACAGCAATGAAACTTGAATAATAATAAAATTTAAAAACGCTATATTTTTTCACGGCAATTTCATCAACCGTTACTCGGAAATTTTGACAATATTTGAAAGACGCGAAGATATTGGCTACAACTCCTTTAAAAAATCGAAGCTGTAAGTTCATGCGGAACAATTTTAAGCATCAAACGTCAAAAAATCATCTATCGCTCAGATTCTAGGCAAACGAAGCGTTATACACGAAAGAACAACCGTTTTAATTGATTAATAAACTACTAGTTTTTCAATGTAATTTTCTCAAAAGTTCAGATTGAATAATGGTCTTAATTTGAGAAATCATAGAAACAATCCAGTTATAATTGAAAAATAATAAATGTTCATAATTACTTTTCGGATTCTTTTTCGCCTCCTTCCGTTTTTTTCTATTGTGTTCTCGCACTTTCTTCTCAATTTTGTATCTCTGACGAGCCTCAACTCTTTTACTGCGTTTTTCTGTAAGAAAAAAGGTATTAAAAAAAAACTTTCCACCAAGTTTGTCCAGTATAATGGAAACAGAAAGTGACGTATTTATGCAGTAATACAATATAATTATATGCATATATCGGTTTGTAGTATTTCCAATCTTTATAATTGATTTCACTAATTAATTTCGATCTCTTGGAATGGTGGTCCATGAGTTTGAAATACATTATTGCAATATCACCATCCATGTCCATCACCATCATCGGTTGTTTTAGGAATCAGTAAAGATGCACGTCAAAATTTCAGGATGGGAAAAAATGAGGTTGGAGGGCACAATATCTTCCCCTGCCCTATTTTATCATATTATTAATTTTTTTCAAATGTTTGGGCAAATTATCAATGAGATTGATGTGAAACAATATCAGGTTTTGCTGTTTTGTCACTATGTGATGGTTTACGAAATATTGTGGCGTTGCAATCATTTTTGTACATTTTCTCCAGTTTTGTGTTTCTTTTTAAAAGTTGAGAAAAGAACGTGAAAAATGTTTGGATTCAATAATAACAAAACGCTAAATAGTATATTATGCAACAAGTGCGTGATGAATTGTTTGGCTCGTGGGAGCAAAAGGCAAGTGTTACAATCCCACGAGTCGAAAAATATATTACGCACGCGTTTCATACAAAATTTTATGTCATCGCGCCCGGAATCCGCGATTTAACCGAGCGAAGCGAGGTTAGAATCGCGCGATTACGGGCACCGATGGCATAAACTATTTTATATCATTAGGCCTATAATCCGCGATTCTAGCGAGCGAAGCAAGATTACAATCACGTAATTACGGGCATCTATGACATAAAATAAATTTTGTAAATAGTGTGTAATGATAATAGATACATGCAATACATAATGACTTTCAAGGCGTGCAAAGGAAAACATGTCAGATATGTGGAAATTTATAATTTATACATTGCTCTTCAACTTACTGAGACAAAATTTAGCCATTTCGTTGTATTGACTTTTTCACAATGTAATTAATATTGATAAACTCAATATGCGGAAAAAAAAATAAACTTAAGACCATGCGGTGAACGTTCACGTGTTCCTCAGTGATGCCAGACGAAATACTGAATACCCTCTCATGTTCCCGCAGTTACCACAGATGGTGGAGGTTCAACAGCGTTTTTCATAGCGGCGGCTACGGAACTAAATCAGAGGCCGTATCCGTGAGTAAGGCAGGGCACGAGGCCGAGAGTGTCGATAACAGCGTAGGAGTCAAAGAGGAGTGGTAGAAATAGATTGGGAGGAATGGAGGAGATTGGGGAGCTAAAGTGGCAACTTGGCAAGTCTTTACCAGCGGAAAATAAGCGGCCACAGTGGGGTCAGAGGGAGCATTGAAGCACCTAGTGATCGACAAGTAATCCACTCGGCTTTAAAAACTCATCTCTTCTCTCTTAATTAGTATTAAGGGATGAAACAATCTGTATTCGATGGGAAATTAAATCCTCCATCCATCAACACTCATTTCCTCCTTTAATCTCTGTGAGAAAAAAATAGAAACCTCGACGAAAGTCACGGCGCTGGAAGAAGCCGAGTGGTTTTCGAGCGCCGAGTGACTTTTAAACTATTTACCTGCCAATAGAAAAATTTTTCATTTAACTCTCCTCCTTCAATATTAATTTTATTATGTACTAGTTTATATTGAGGGATAAAAAAATGCAGTTCGATTGGGGATGAAATTTCCCATCTATCGAAACCCGTTTCATGTCTTTACTTCTGTATGAAATAAAGCAACACATAGGCGAAAATCATGACGCTGAAACCATCAGAATTATATTATTTTTTAAATAAAATGGAGCATAGATGTGCTTATAACAATTCTTGATCCACACAAAACGTCGATTGCCATCAAAAGGAAATATGAAGAGATGTCCAGCTTCCCTACCCCACGATATCATTTCATAATTCCTAAACATACAAAAATCATCAGACGAAATTTTGCTCGCCATTTGAAATAAAACGCCCACAAAAATCTCCATTTATTTTTTAGAAAGCCGTTGAATTGAATGATGATACTCTCTTGAAAAACAGAATTCAACTGAGCATTTTAAAAATTAGAGGGGCGATGGGTGCAAAACGGGCACTCAGGGAAAAACGGACACCGTGAAATTCTTTTGATTTTTTAATTTTTTCATTTCCATCATTTTTTTTGTTTGATTAATGAAAAAAAAACACAGAATTACACGCCTATATCGTGCTTGGGTAAATGAAAATTCAGTCGTCACAGTTTCAATTTTTTAATTAAGAAATATATGCGGAATTACGAAATCTAATGAATAGCCAAAATCTAGGGAATATTCAAATCAATTGAAGGGCGTCCCTTTCGCCCCCATCCGCTCTACAAAATACTTTCATCGCCAGAGTTTTTTTCTTTTTGTGGTTATATTCCGAGCCATTTTAAAATGTTCAAGCCTATTTTCTAAAAAAAAGTGTTTTTTTTCTCAACAAGGTGTCTGTTTTGCCCCTGTCTTCCCTACAGGCTTTGTTTTTATTTCGGACGTAGCTTCTTCGGTACTTCAATTCGCGGAAAAACATGTTGCGAATGTTTCTATTGAGAGTACTTGGTTTGAAAGCAGAAAAATCGGTAGGCGGAAAAAATATCCCCGGAAAAAATAGCCCACACACCCAAAACGTGATAAAACCCACCCAATTTGATAGACCATAGGAAAATTAGAGCCCCTGAGAAAATAGACAACGAAAAAAATAATGAAATTAAAAAATAATTAAATTGAGCGAGTTTAACACGTTTTGAATGTATGGGATATTTTTTCCCTGCAATATTTTCTCCGGGATTCGAAAAATCAATAGTTAGCCCATAGCTGTTGAGTCCATATTAGTATTTTATCATTTTTCTGGAAACAGCACCAGGATAAGGAAAATAAGTTATATAAACGGAAATAGAGAAAGATGAATAAACAACGGCCTTTTGTCAGATGTGTCCAGAGTGTAAAAACTTTGGTTGCAATAAGTCACTTGAGCAAGGAAGGGTTATGGAAGAATGATATACCTTCTGAGTGCGTTTAATAAAAGTTGAATTCTAAGCTAAATCTGTTTTTTATTATTTATTAATTCTTGTCCATCATCCAATAGTTTTCAAAAAACAAAATTCATCGATTTTGTCCAAGAGAAGAAAAAGTAGAATTCTGTTTTAATGCAAAAAAACAAGGCACGGTGTCGTGCATGTATTAAGAAAAATTTTTTCGCGGTTGTGTAATTCCAAATAGGGCGAAAATTATGTTTATATTCATCAATTCGTGGAATTGAGGCTTTCTCGAGATCATGTATTTATTGGGAAGATGTGAGAGCGAAAGAGAGGGTAAACAAATCCACTTTCGGTCGGCACTGGAAAACCACTCGATTTCCCTCAGCGCGGTCATTTTCGTTGACGTATTTACTTTCTCCTTACCAATATTAGTAGATAAAATGTGTGTCAATGGATGGAGGATTTATGTACCCATTGAAGACAGCTTGTTTCATTCGTTCTCCAATCTTTACGCCAAATTCGGTGAGTTGTTCATTTTTTGAACTGGGACCGCCGTATACTTAGCGCACTAATTAATGGGAATCATTAATTAACTTTTCAAATAATTTGGAAATAATTTGGGGAAATTTAGTGAGTAGATTTCATAATTTGGGGAGATCTAGTTAATTAATTATTTATTTTTTTTAATTAAAGCGTATAGTTAGCGAAAATTCCTTATTGTTTATTTTTCTAAATTGGGAATTACGTAGAATCATTTGGGGAATCGATTTCGGTAGATTTCATAATTTGGGGAATTGCTGACGAGTTGATAATTAATAAATTAAATAATTACATCAATTTCCAACCCTGCGCATGCGCGCGTCCACACCCGTTCCTTCCTTCGTTATCGACACTCGTTTAAAGAAAGTTGAATATTATTCATAAAACTTGTTAACTAATTTTATAGAGGATAAATCCAGCAGCAACCGAATATGAATCAGAAAGCAAACTTCGATCACTGAGTTGTTGAAACAGCGATAAATTGCATTGTGATTTATTTTCAATTTTTATCGTTTTTCCTTGTAAAAACATTGTAGAGACATGAAAATTAGGGGAAAACTTAATTCAAAGAAAATTCACACAACGTTATTTTTTAAAGAGAACACTAGTTAATTAGAGTGGAAATGAT